AACCTGAACACATCACACTGTGAACCTGAACACATCACACTGTGAACCTGAACACATCACACTGTGAACCTGAACACATCACACTGTGAACCTGAACACATCACACTGTGAACCTGAACTAACTGAACCTTTATGAGGTCGTGTAGAAATCCTGTCCATCAGATTGATGTATTTTGATCACTTTACAATTTTCATGTTTCTGTTTCTTGCTGTCCTCAGTGACTGAATTCTCCAAGAAGACGGGGGACTATCCCAGTTTGTCGGCCACAGACATCAAAGTTATGGCCCTGACTTACCAGCTGGAGCTGGAGCATGTTGGTTCACARCACTTGAAGACAGAACCAGAGATCAAGGTACTGTTTGACTCTTCTGGAGTCTCACTGGTTCACCATCAGAGTGTAGAGTTAGGATCACCTTAAAGACAAACCTGTCTCATTTTACGGTTGACTCRTTGGTGAACTATGGATGTTCTTGACTCCAGGTGAATATTCAGAGCACACGTCGCCACCCAGAGGCACCAGTTAACATCACAGGGTTCCACTTTCCCTCTAAGGTAGGAGACGGGTGGTGGATGAACCTTCAGGTGTTGCTGAGTCGTCTCTGAGGTTTGTGTCTTCCTTCAGAAATCTGGAGTCGCCTCCGACACCAGGCAGACTCGGACAGAGAAGGAGACGTCCAACCAGTCGGACAGCGAACAGTTCAACAGCTTCCAGTTCTGGAGGGACCCGCTGCCGTCCATCGACTCAGACCTTCTGGATTTACTGGTGCGTTTCAACAAACCAGCAGATAGACCGTCTTTAGTTTGGTTTAGGATGTTTACGCTCTGTGACCGGATTTCTGCTCTGTCAGAGTCCAACAGAGGTTCAGAGTCCAAACGACAGACAGACAGATACACAGACGGACACACAGACGGCCGACAGCGAACACTTCAACAGCTTCCAGTTCTGGAGAGACCCGCTGCCGAGCCTTGACGATGACCTGCTGGCTTTACTGGTGAGCAGTGGTGGGCACTGGTCCCCTAAAGCGCAAATGCACTAACTGTGGACCTAAATTTCTCCTTTTGCGCTTTAGGGGTTTTACTAATTTCTACAAATGATGTGCAGATTTGCACTTTCTAAATTTAGAATTGAKTAGTGMTAATCGCAAATGTTTCAAATCCGATAYGTCAAGTTTATCTAAAGAAAAGATAGAGAGCTGTCCATATCCATTACGTCTTGTAGCCACATATTTCATTAAAGTTTCATCATCATTTTCCTTAAACATTGGAGGGGTAAGCCATCTCTTAACACAATGAAGCTCCACTGTGTGCAAATAGCGCCCCCCTCAGGCAGCATTGCATTTACAGAGCTTTATACTCTGACTTACTGTCCTTCTGTCTGACGGTTTTCATTTAGTAGAGATTGTTCCCACAATYCTTTGTGTGGCAGGAAGCAGTTGGAGCTACATCACTGGGCGACAGTCCACCAGCGGTTCTGATCTGCAGAACCACACTCAGCTGTGCATACTGTACTTCCTCTCCGAGGGACACCGCGGCAATAAATATTAAATAAATAAATAATAAAGAAAGAAACACGGAACAGTTTAAATTCACGCTCTTATTTTGAAGTGAACAGGAGTTCCTGTTCATCCTGTAGCCTACCCAGAATGCATCGCTTCAGTTTTATAATAAACTGTTTAAAATTGTTAATATATCTGCATGTTTTCGTACTGAAACCCTACCATAAACATAAGAAAATGACCAAGAAGCAGCGGAACTAGAAAAAACTTTTTTTGAACATCACGACAAAAGTGTGTTTCAACAAATCACCTCCCCAAACCGCGACGAAACGTGTTAATCTGTGAAAGAAAGTGATCTTACCACTAGATGGCAGTAAAGTGCTAACATGTCTCATTTATACTGGAATGTTTTCTGGTAAATGGAGACAAACTTGCGCTTTATATTTAGCTTTCGCTAAATTTTATTGAGCATGTTCACTTTTGAACTTGCGGACCTAAATAATTTGACTAGCGCTTTAGAAATTGTGCGACTAAATTTTTAATTGGCGCTGCCCACCCCTACTGGTGAGGTCAACGTCAGTCTCCGGTGTCCTGGGTTCTCGTGAGGCTGAAAGACCAAGTCTGTTTGGAAGAACTTGGACCAGAATTTGTAGTCCGCTGCTCAAACCTTTAAGGAAACAAAGGATCAGAGCATGACATGGACCCAGGTTTTCTGAGAACGCAGATACCTTCAGAAAAACACCTGCTGTAACCATGATGGTGATGATGAGGACTCTGTTTGTTGTTTGTTTGCAGGATGGGGGCGGAGTCTCACCATTAGACCACTCCCCACAGGTGGAAGAGAGAACAGAGGAGCAGTTGTGTGACGAGGACAAGGAGAACGAAYCTGAAGAGGAAGACGAGGAGGAAGATGACGGGGGAGGCTGGATCACTCCCAGTAACATCAAACAAGTGAAGATGGACTCTGCTGATTGGACGGCTCCGGCTCACGTCAGAGTTGGATGTCTGACCACCGACTTCGCCATGCAGGTACCAACTGAAGATAAACCATCCAGGGACCGGTTCTGAGCGGTTTGTTGCTCTGATCCTTCTGGGTCATTTTTAGGTTTTTCTTTGAACTGATTTAAAAATTTCAGATTTCTCCTTGTTTCTGTTTACAGAATGTTCTGATCCAGATGGGCCTTCACGTTCTGTCCGTGAACGGGATGGTGATCAGACAGGCCAGGAACTACATCCTGAGGTGCCACGCCTGCTTCAAGTGAGTACAACATCTTAAACATCGTAGACCGCTTCAAGTCTGCCCAGAACTGAACCTGAATGTGTTGGACTTCCAGGACCACCAGCAACATGAGCCGGGTCTTCTGTCCTCACTGTGGGAACAAGACCCTGAAGAAGCTGGCGGTGACGGTCAGCGACGACGGCAGCATCCAGATGCATTTCTCCAAAAACCCCAAAGTGCTGAACCCCCGAGGACTGAGGGTGAGTCTTTAAACCCCCGAGGACTGAGTGTGAGTCTTTAAACCCCCGAGGACTGAGTGTGAGTCTTTAAAACCCCGAGGACTGAGGATGAGTCTTTAACACCCCTCCCCCCCCCGAGGACAGAGGGTGAGTCTTTAAAACCCCCCGAGGACAGAGGGTGAGTCTTTAAAAACCCCTGAGGACTGAGGGTGAGTCTTTAAAACCCCCCGAGGACTGAGGGTGAGTCTTTAAACCCCCGAGGACTGAGGGTGAGTCTTTAAACCCCCGAGGACTAAGGGTGAGTCTTTAAAACCCCCCGAGGACTGAGGGTGAGTCTTTAAACCCCCGAGGACTGAGGGTGAGTCTTTAAAACCCCCCGA